AGAGAGAGAGAGGGAAGCAGGCTCCCCGCCGAGCAGAGAGCCCAATGCGGGACTCGATCCCAGGACCCCGAGATCATGACCCGAGCCGAAGGCAGCGGCTCAACCCACTGAGCCACCCAGGCGCCCCTGAAAGGAGCTTTTGAGTCAGAAATTCAGAAACTTGCCAGGACCTGTTTGGAAATAAACCTGGAGGATTTATTGTCAGTGGTTGGTTGTGCAGTGTCTGTGAGAAGCACAAGAAGTTGAAAGACCAAACAAACTTGAAAAAGGTGGAAACTGAAAAGGCAGTTAATTATTTACATATCACCGTTGGAGACGGAACTATGTAACTTATTAAAGCCATGTGATTTCTGGCCTGGACAGTTCAGGGTTTAGAGGAGATGCTTGCTGTTCTATACTGAAGCAGGGCTCTTTTCTTTCAGAGCCTTTAGCACAGGAAAAGCTGAACTAGGGATTTTTGCAAGATGAGGAAAAAGCCTGTTTTACACATGATGTTCTAGGAAAAGGGGAAGTGCTATTTAGTCATCATCAGAAGAGGCTTTGAATTCAGGTAATAATTCAGAAAATCATAACATCAGTGACCAAAAACCATTATCATAGACAGAGTATAGACAGAGGGCATTTAATATCTTTACAATATGAAGAGCATTTATAAATCATTCAGAAAATTATGAACACGAACATTATAGAACATTAGAGCATGTAGCTCTTGATCTCGGGGTTGTAAGTTTGAGCCCCACATTGGGTATAGAGATTACTTTAAAAAATAAAATCATAAAAAATATTATGAACATTCTAAGAAATTTTTAAAAAACCCAAGCCAGAAGAATTACAAAGGAAATAAAGATGGCCAGGAGAGAGAGAGACAGATGTGTATATATGTTTCCTCAATGGTGAAAACAGAAACATATTAAAATAATAAATTAACATATTTCACCTATTGATGTGGTGAAGATTAATACAGGTTTTTTTTGTGAAGTCACTAAGCCAATATGTATCAATAGTAATTAGAAAAACTGTACACTTTTTGATTCCATAATTTTGCTTTCATGATGTATCTAAGAGAAAGAATCTGAAATGCAGAAAAATATTTCCACGCTAGGGTTTTTATCCTAGCATAAATTATAATTAGAATAAAATAGAAAACCATAAGTTCCATAAGAAATACGGAATAAGAAAAGGTTAAATAAATAAGAAAAGTTTAAATAAATAAGAAAAAAAGGCTAAATAAATAAGAAAAGGTAAAATTGTGGATTCATCCATATACGTAGAATATTATAATTTAGTCATTTAGAAATCATATTTTCACCCATCAATAAGGATTGGACAGCTGGGAGGCCCCACACGAAGGACTGAGGACTCTAATTTTATAAAAATCATATTTTCAAAAAGTATTTGGTGGCATGAGAATGTGTCTGTAATAAAAAAAAGTTTTAAAAAGCAGAATGCTAAACTATATTACTTGATTATAATGTTGTTAAAAGGCTTTTATGCATGCAGACAGAAAACATGACTGAAAAAAACACATTAATTGGTTGTCACTGGTCAGTGGGAATGGTTTTCTTCCTTTAGTGTTTCTTTAGCTTCTCAGTGTTATACATATATGTTACTTTTGTATTCAGAAAAGTACTTTCTTAAACACAATCCCCATGTTCCCTTGCTGAAAAAAATAAGGTAAAGAGCATTTCTCAAGAAAAATTAGTATTTCTAATACTCAGTATTTACTCTGACCTTTAAGTTGAGCTTAATACTCAGTATTTACTCTGACCTTTAAGTCGAGAGTACCAGTGTACATCTTCCACTTTATAAAGCTTTTCTGTTTTGTAATATTTCATCTACTTTTTAGTTTTACAACCTGGATTATCTCTGAAGTGGAGGCTTGTAAGCACAACGGGGTGGGAAGCATGCAGGGAGCTTCCTTTCTGCTTAAGCTTTATTGGTTTTTCTGCTGATAAAATAGAGCGGGCTCCCTATAGAATATTTTGCTAAACTTGAATATTTTCAGAGGGAAATGTGCAGGTGTCTTCAATTTACTTTGCTATGTATTAAAAATAAAAAGGAGAAATGGATAGAAATGCTACAAAGTGAGTATATCAAAATGTGAATGGTGGCTGTAAAATTCTTTAAACTTTGCTATGTGTTTGAAAAAAATTTTTTGTTTGAAGATTTCATTTATTCGAGAGAACGAGAGAGAGAGAGAGAGAACGCGCGCACGCTCAAGTGGGGAGGAGGGGCAGAGGGAAAAGGAGACTCGGAACTTGATCCCAGGACCCTGAGATCGTGACCTAAGCTGAAGGCAGACACTTAACTGAGGCACCACTTGAAATTTTTTATAATAAATTATTAGGGGAGATTTTTGTGGAAGGACACCAGAAATTAAGTTTGTTTATTCAGATAGTCAATTTAGAATATTCGAATGTCCAAAGAATACCAACTTCCATGTAAAGGCATTCTTTTAACTTTTCCCCTAATTGTACCACTTAAAAAGTTGTCTTTCTATCTGTCTTTCTCTCCCTTCCTTTCTTTCTTAAGTTTTTTTGTTTTGTTATTTTTTTTTGACAGAGACACAGCTAGAGAACATAAAGAGGGGGAGTGGGAGAGGGAGAAGCAGGCTTCCGGTGGAGCAGGGAGCCAATACAGGACTCAATCCCGGGACCCTGGGATCATGACCTGAGCTAAAGGCAGACGTTTAACGACTGGGCCACACAGGTGCCCCTGAAGTTGTTTTAAAGAGAGAGAGGCAGCAAGAAGTTTTAAGAAATCTTTTCTTTCAAAAGAATTAATAATTACAGATCACCTTGGGTGATCAGAAAAAAACCACAAGAGAAAATTAACATATATTTTGATCATAACTAGATTTTGATACGTTAGAGCCTGATTATTGAAACAACTGAATCTGGGAGGTGGGTGTGGGAGATCTTTTTTTTTAATGAAGACAAAATAATATTCCAATTTAGAAATGATTTTGGGGGGGGTGCCTGGGTGGCTCAGTCGGTTAAGCATCTGCCTTGGGCTCAGGACCCTGGGGTTGAGTCCCACATCGGGCTCTTTGCTCAGCTGGGAGCCTGCTTCTCCCTCTGCTTGTCATGCCCCCTGCCTGCACACTCCCCCTCTCTCGCTCGGGCAAATAAATAAATAAAATCTTTAAAAAAAACTTTAAAAAAAGTTAAAATGGCTATATAACTTAAAAGGCCTATTTTTTAAAATACAGTTAATGTATATATATGTAAGTCACTTAATGGACTGTGGTTTTCAGTTTCATTGAATTTTCTTTTATTCAATTTATTTCTGTTGATTTCAGAAATACCACAAAAATTTTCCATTGAAAATATTGCTGCTTTAAGCTTTAAATGTTGACTATTAGCTCTGTTGATAATTTATTTTAGAATGCATTATTGGGACGCCTGGGTGGCTCAGTTGGTTAAGCAGCTGCCTTCGGCTCAGGTCATGATCCCAGCGTCCTGGGATCGAGTCCCACATCGGGCTCCTTGCTCGTCAGGGAGCCTGCTTCTCCCTCTGCCTCTGCCTGCCATTCTGTCTGCCTGTGCTCACTCTCTCTCCCTCTCTCTCTCTCTCTCTCTCTCTCTCTCTGACAAATAAATAAATAAAATCTTTAAAAAGAAAATGAAAAAAAAAAAAAAAGAATGCATTATTTTAAAAATTTCACATGTTTCTAAAGGAACAAGTGTGCGTATATGTCTTGCTGAATTTTCTGGTTTTTTTTTTTTTTTTTAAAGATTTAATTTATTTATTTGAGAGAGAGACAGTGAGAGAGAGCATGAGCGAGGAGAAGGTCAGAGGGAGAAGCAGACTCCCATGGAGCTGGGAGCCCGATGCGGGACTCGATCCCGGGACTCCGGGATCATGACCTGAGCCGAAGGCAGTCATCCAACCAACTGAGCCACCCAGGCGTCCCATGAATTTTCTGTTTTCTATTCTGAGTAGTTTAGCACCAAAAAGTTCCAGTATAAATATGCACTAATCCCAAAGTCAGTTTGAGTTCTGCCATTTGAAAAGAGTAACATACACAGAAATAATATATGATTTTTGAAGAAATTTGCCTTCCTTTAGGATATGGGATCTGTTAATTATATTGAAATGCTTTCTTTTTTAGGTCATTCATGCCTGGCTTATTATTTCATCTCTGTTGTTGCTGTTCTTTTTCTCATTCATTTACTTGGGGTAAGTGGTGAAATACTTAATCTGGTTTTCAGGAATTAACCGTGTTTGAGCTGTTTAAACCCATGTACTTTGTTGATGAAATACTATTAAAATATGATCATTTCCATATATAGTTTGTACTTGATATGTTTAAGGCTGGTTAGTATTATGAAAAATATGTATTTTTTCATGGCTGCACTAAATTTCATTTTACGAAAATAACATCCTATGTCCTAGCTATATAAAATGTATTGTGGGTGTTTAATTTTTCTAATTTCAGCTATTTTAAACTAGGGTTTCTTTCCATTGTGGTGTTTTATTTTATTTTTCAAGGTTTTATTCATCTGAGAGAGACAGTATGAACGTAACAGGTGGGGAGAGACAGAGGGAGAAGCAGACTTCCTACTGAGCAGGAAGTTGGACATGGGGCTTGATCCTGGGACTGGAATCAGGACTTGAGCCTAAGGCAGAGGCTTAACCAACTGAGCCACCCAGGCGCCCCATCCATTGTGGCATTTTAAGTGACATGTGGCCTTTTTTTAGTTTTTGTACTTACTTTTACAGCTATGACCTGTGATACTGGTTTCCTATTTATATGAATGATACAGAGCTTTCTGTTAAAGTAAGCTCAACTTGAGAGAAAAAGTGAATTTAAAGAAAACTGTTAAATAGCACAGGTTGATATAAGATATGGTAAAAATATGAAGATAGGCTATGAATATCTAATCTGAGGGAACCATAGTTCTGAACAATATTTTAATGAAAATTAGTGTACATAAATATTTTTAGATTTCTGTTTAATTTTTTTCAGGGAAGTGTTTAAAACCTACAATGTTGCCATGGACTACATTACTGTTGCACTCCTGATCTGGAATTTTGGTGTGGTGGGAATGATTGCCATTCACTGGAAAGGGCCTCTGCGACTCCAGCAGGCATATCTTATCATGATCAGTGCCCTCATGGCTCTGGTATTTATCAAGTACCTTCCAGAATGGACAGCGTGGCTCATCTTGGCTGTGATTTCAGTATATGGTAAAACTCAAGACTGACATTTTGTTCATCACAGAAGTACCTCACTGGTGTGTTTCCCTTCCTTTTCCAGTTATCTTGACTTAGGAAAGTGGTAACAGTTAACATCCCATAGCTTTTCAGCAAATAATTAATTAGCTAGAGTATCTTTTTCTTGTAAAGATTTCCTTTCTTTTTGAGGTCGAGTTCTTTAAGAATGTTTTCTTACTGCCCACAATTTAAGCCAGTGAGCGATTAGTGGAAGGATCCAGACTTCTGCTCAGAAGACTGAGGTTTAAATCCTGTCTCCACCACCAGCAGTCTTTGTGACACTAAGAAAGAGCCTCATACTCCTTGAGCTTCAGTTTCCTCATGTAGAAAATGGGCACAGTGCTTCCCAGAGGTGTAAGAGTTAAGAACCTATGTTGAAAAGCACTAGCAGAGTGCTTCACACACTTAAAATGCTCAGTTAGTTTTTAAATCAAAAATTAGGACTTCCACTTTTTATAAGGCAACTTGGGTAGAATTATCTTTGAAAAATAAAACTTATTTGGGCCGTGTGAGATTCAAATTCATTAACAACCAGTGTCACATGGGTTCCAAACAGTCCCAGAGTATCCTTGACATGAAGGACAAAAGCCGCTGTGTAGGTGTGAGCTCTGTGGCTTTCACCCAGCATGAAAGCCAAAAAGGGATCCACTTTCAGCGGTCAGAGGTCAGTATGTGCTCTCTAGATTATAATTTTATCCCTATTCAAATGCTTACTAAAATGTCAGGTGCCCTGGAGTAGAATCCTCACCATGCCCACTTATTTGATGAAGAAAAAGTCCATGGAAATAGAATTAAATTGGTTCTGTTCTCGTATTTGAGCAGTCAGTCCTAGAACTGTAGCCATGTACTCTGTGTCTTTCCTAGAGACCTTAGGTGATAGGGCATTGATGGTTTACAGAGTCCTCATCTATCATTGCACTGCTTTGCTCGGCCAGCTCTGGCCCCCATCCAGTCAGCAACTGATAAATACGTTGCATTCAGAATATTATTAACATGTTCTTCTGTTCAGTGCCTTTTTCAACAGCTACAGTTCGCCTTCACCTTCAGAGGGACACGCTCTATCTCTACCTGGCTGCTGGTGGAATTCTTCCACAGCCCTACCATTGCATACAATTTTTGTTGGCTAGATCTTAACCACATCCAACTTTTTCCAGGAGCACAGATGGAACATCACATCGATGATATTTTCCTCTGAAGAGATTCATTTCACATATTCATTGAAGACATACAAATATTCACACAGGAGCTCAAAAAAAGGGGGTGGGCATTTACCTGTACATTGTACAAGGCTTTGCCACCCCAGTTGAATTCCTGAAAATTATTTGGTAAGCTGAAGGCTTCTGTATCTCTGACGCTGTCAGGAAATAGCAACAGAGCCTCCCCGTACCCACAATGTTAAAACAAGCCCAGTATCTTTTAGGCCTTTTTGGGATCTGGAGCAGCATATTCCTCATTTACAAATTTCACTTAAGCCTATGTATACTGTTACAAATTGGCCCATCTTGAATTGGGGCCCCCTACAATAAATGGCTCTAGAATCTGTCTAGATGTAAGCAAACAGTCGCTTCCATCAATGTCCCCTCCAGAGAATCATTCACTCTAGAAGCTATAGCAACCTCCTCTCACACCTTAAATCCCTAGACCGCCTGTGATGGATTCTGGTGGGAGAAACTGTTCTCCTCAGTCCCGTGCTGTACACAGTTAGAGAAGCAGTTGGAGAGTACATACTGAGCTCTCCTGGAAATAGGTTCTCATAGGTCCTGAACCTGTGAAGTTCCACGTTGTTCTGTGGGACATGGAGGCAGCATTCTATAAGCCCAGGCCAGCTACCAGGGCCTCCCTGCTACAAGATAGAGCTAAGTCTGGGCCTTCCGGAGTATCACACCTAAAAGAAAGGTGGCCTCTTCTGTCCTCAGTCCCTTACTAGTTGACAAAGTGCTAGAGGAGCTTACCCCTTTCTCTGACCTGTGGCTACTGGGGGAGCCCTTCGGGACCAAGTGAACAGCAGTGGGAGTTTGGACCCCTCATGCACACCATCAGAATTACATGTGATGCAGCTTACTCCCTGACGGCTTCTCCTTTTCATTACCTAATCCAGATATCCTTGATCAGAGAGTGGGGTCCAGGGCTCAGCAAAATTCGATGAACTTCAGCAGGTCATCTTATCCTAGCCTACAGTTGGCTCCATCCGTGCATTTTTACAGACTCTGGAGCCATTGCCATGGTTTAGTCATCTGGTCCCACCAATGATAGCAACAGCAATTACTTATCCAAGGTTTTCCTCTTTGAGGAAAATGGCTGTGAGAACCTCTGGCTTCACAGATGCTCAAAATATTTATCAAGGTTACAAATATCTCTGTGTATATTAAAGCCACAGTACAAGCCTCACTTTCTCCATTGTGGACTTCCAGACATTGTTAATAGTGCCCATCTCACCTGTAGAAGTATACAATGCTGGGCTCCTGACCAAGAATTTCAGTGGGACTTTCACCGTTCCCACCAGCCTTGGGCTACAGACCTCACAGAGCACCATTGTGACATATTCAAGCAAGTTAAAATTTAATTAAATGAAACATGGCATCTATCTATCATCAGTCAGACATTAGACATAAAGAGTCTGGTTCTATTTTTGTATGTTCAAAAACAAAAACAGCGCTCGTTCTTTAGGCAGCCATGTCTGGCTCAATCCAGGCTCCTCTCCTTTCATTTTTTGGCTGTGTAACTAGCACAGTGATCAACTTTTAAGTGAAGATTAAATGAAAAAATACATATAATACACTTAGAACAGTATCAGTAAATGTTAGCTGTTATTTTTTAAAATATATAATCCTGTAAAGTAGTCAAGGCAGTACTTCCTGTGTTACTGCTAACAGACCTGAGATTTAGAGAGAGAAGGTGTTTGCCCAAGCTTATAGAATCAGAATCCCAGGTCCAGCATTCTTTCTACTGCATTACAGTATTTCTCCCATCAACACTCCTTCTTCCATACATGATACAAATGATTATTTCTCCAGACCTTTGAGTTCCTTTAAAGTAAGAGACTTTTGTGTCCATGATTTACAGGAGTGATTCTCAAGTCCCTTTTTACAACGTCTGAAGATTTTTAAGTTTGTCCCACAGGTTCTAAAATTTTTGAAACAAAATTCACTTTGATTGCTCTAAAAATAAGGTAGTTTATCATTTAGCACTTCTGTTAGGGGCAGCACGTCATAAAGCCAAGACAGTTACAGGATATGCAGCTTCAAACAGGTTGAAAAGCTCCTTATTTCAGAGCATGGCAAATCTCCCTTTTCTCATCCCAAACAAATCAAAGTGGAAGCAGTGAGAGCAGAGACCTCTGTCTCTGTGTGTGTGTGTGTGTTTTATTATATTAGTGGTAGTCGATGTAATATTCAAGGAGACGTGACCACTTGCAGTTATGAGGGGATTTTTTACTTAAATGCATCTGAATGATGGTGATGGCAGCATTAGCTATGATGTCTTCCTTCACAAATTTAGCTACACCTGTTTTAATATTTTTAAATGTTTGAGATTTTCTGTACTTCTATATTGTGAATTTTTATGGCACAAAAAATGTAAGAAAAATCACTGTTGATGGAAAGAGATGGTGGAAGAATTAATAGTTTAGGCAGATTGCTCCTATTCTGAGTTGCTGTTTTGGTAAAATAAGTTACTTTTCAGTACCACATGCATTTAAGACCTGATACTGTGAAGTGCTTTAGACAGAGGTACAAAGAAATACTAAAAGGATTTCATGCAAAAATTTATTTTGTTTTGTTTAAATTTACTGTCCTTTAATTCAGGTATCCCTAAGTAGTACATACACTATTTTTAAAAAGGAGAGGGAATGAGTCCTGTTAATCTGCTCTTCATATTTTGAAAAATTCAGTCATCCCCTCTATTAAATTCCTCTTGTTGTAAAGCTTCCATCTGTGGCCCATAGAAATGATTTGTTCAGAAATAGCTTCTCTTTGTTTTTGCTTATTGGAAGTTGACAACTGCTGTAGAGTAGTTCTGTCTTGTCATTATCTCTGCCTTTTTTCTTCAAACTCAGAGAAGACTTGTTCCTGGAACTCTGTGATGATACACTGTAAACCAACCAAATAGGCAAAAACCAAAACGAAGTTTACACGGATCCTCTGTGTGGTTTTTGTAGGTTTTTTTCCCACCAGTTTACCTCCTGTTTATTTCATATTGGTTCAGCATCTTCCTGTGTAAAGAAGACATTAACCCTTTTCCCTTGGTTAATTCCTCCCTGACACACCCATTTGTAAACTTAGCCAATACATTTTTGCAGACTTCTTCTTTTTTTTTTTTTTTTTTTTTTTTTTTTTTTAATTTTCCCTTTCTAGATTTAGTGGCTGTTTTGTGTCCAAAAGGCCCACTTCGTATGCTGGTTGAAACAGCTCAGGAGAGGAATGAAACTCTCTTTCCGGCTCTTATTTACTCCTGTAAGTATTTTGGAATGATGTTAAATTACTACTCAGCTTATAATTTATAGGAACTCAAACACATGTAATTATGGTCATTATTACACTTTTTCTCATCTTAAATGCATGACATTAGGAGAACTTCTACACATCCCTGTTTCCTTGCAAATTATTGTCTTCCATCTGACACTGGTTCAAGAGAGTTTTCAGTAGATATAGAAATAGAAGAAATATTTAGAGAGTGGGGAGCCATTACTCTCAACTAAAATCTTATTAGTTTGGGATGTCTGGGTGGCTGAATCAGTTGGGCATCTGCCTTCAGCTCAGGTCATGATCCCAGAGTCTGGGGATCAAGTCCCACATCAGGCTCCTAGCTCAGCAAGAAGCCTGCTTCTCCCTCTGCCTGCCGCTCCCCCCTCTGCCTGCCGCTCCCCCTGCTTATGCCATCTCTCTCTCTTTTTGACAAATAAACAAAATCTTAAAGAATAAATAAAATAAAATCTAATTAGTCAAGAGTTATTGAGCCACTTACTACAGAGGAATCTTGCCCTAGCTTACCCCAAAAATCGTACTGTTCCCTCACAATGTGCCCCTTTTGGTTATTTTGGGATGCTGTTCTTCCTAATCATTCAGTACATATGCATTTGGGCATTGACCTTCTGCCACAGAGCACTGTGGGGGACATAAAGAGGTTTAAGATGCTCTGCCTTACCCAGGACTCCTTTGCTTATACTTTAGGGGTGAGATAAGACAATGTATAAACATCCAGCATTGTTGCCAGATTCAGAGGAGGCACAATTGAAGTGTAAAGAGAGATGAGAAGAAGGAAAACCTGGCTGGGGAAATAGGGAGGGCTTTGTGGATGAGATAGCATTTGTATTAAACCTTTTAAGGATGGTGGAATTTGGGGCGCCTGGGTGGCTCAGTGGGTTCAAGCCTCTGCCATTGTCTCAGGGTCCTGGTCCTGGTCCCTGTATCGGGCTCTCTACTCACCAGGGAGCCTGCTTCCCCCTTCTCTCTCTCTGCCTGCCTCTCTGCTTACTTGTGATCTCTCTCTGTCAAATAAATAAAATATTAAAAAAAAAAAAAAGGTGGGATTTCAGCAAACACACATGGAAGAGTTGATTCCGTAAGTGGGCTTGTCGCAAAGAATGGCTTTGAGACAGAAGTATGGGGCATCTTTATCAAGTTTCAGGTGTTTAGATTGACTAGAACATGGAGTAAAATAGGGGAGAGTTCTAGGAGGATGAATTTGGAAAGGGCAGATTAGGGCAAGATCAGGGATAGCTTTGGGGGGCTGGTTTAGATATCTGTATGCTCTTTGCTGATCGCTGGGGAATCAGAGGTTCTTGAGCACAAGAGTTATGTGATCAGAGCTGTGGCTCCGCAGGCTTGCAGCATTGTGCAGGCTGATTTATGGGTGGTGAGAACCGAAGTAATGGCTAATAACTAAGCAGATACTGTTGTAATCTAGGAGGGGAATAATGAGGGTCTGAACTGTGGTATTGTTAATGGCAGATCCAGGAAGAGGACTGATTGATGAGAGGTTGTACAGGTAGAATCAGTAGTTCTTAGCAACTGATGAGAGAAGTTTCAGGCCTGAAGGAAAAGTGATGAAGAGGGGTGTTGTTCTTGGTTCAGGAACGTTTCGTTTTCTCTGTGGCCATATCTTCCTTAGTTGGTGGGACCTGTGAACCAGGTAGAAATGCCCAGCGTGAGTTTAGAAGTGAAGTTCTAGTGCTTGGGGAAAGGTTGATCAGAGGTACAGAATTGAGAGCATAGCAGTGGCCATTGCAAATTCGGGAGTGGTTGAGCAGTTCAATAGAAGTAGATGAGAAGATGTTAAGGAGAGAACTCTGTCAGCTCCTGTGCTTAAAGAGTGAGAAAACGAAGAGACAACAACAGTAAAGGGAAGAAAAGAAAATTGGGGTAGCTGGGATTTTTCACTTAACAGTATCAGGACATGTTTTCCATGTCAGCACGGGAAGAGGCTACACAGTATTCTCTATGTAGGTACTCAGCAAAGGGTGTCCTTGTTGATCTTCTTCTGTCACGAACAGTGCTTGCAGAGATCATCCATCTTCGTGAAATTTTTGGTATGATACGTTTTTAAAAATGGAATTGCTAAGTCAAAGCATGTGTGTAAATTTTGATGGATCCAAATTACCTCCTAAAAAGGCTATACCAGTTTATCTGTCCTTTAATAGTGTAAGGTACCACTTTCCTTATACCTTCAGTATTATGTGTGTGTGAAACTAAGAGGCAAAAAATAACCTCTTGTTTTATTTTGATTTTGGCTTATTAACTAATAATTATTAATGAGTATTTGGACTTTTTTCATGTTTTTTTTAGCTACATACTTATATTTCTTGTTTTGTGACTGGGTATAATCTTTTCTATATTTTCAAAATTTATAATTGCATAAGTAATGCATTAATGTGTTATGCTGGAAGAAAATTAAATATTGTAAAGAAAGCTAAATTTCACCATAACTGTCATCTCTAATCTTAATACCTTACCAAGCAGTTACCCTGTTACCAGTTTGATGTAGGGTTTTTGTTTGTTTGCCTAATTTTCTGTTGGGTTATTGGAAAAACAGTTTCAAGAAGAACATCAAATGCTCTAGAAGAAGCCAAAGATGAGGACTAAGTAAACCATATAGAATTTAGTGCCTTGGATGTCTTCGGTGACATTTAAGAGAACAATTTCAGTAGAGTGGTAGGGCTAGAAGCAGTGCTCCCAAGGGAAGGCAGTGTGTCTGTGTTTTGCTGTTGCTGGCAGTGGAAGTTATGGTATAGCAAGAGAATGGGTGGTGAAGGAGGGGAGGTTCAGTAAACATCCCCTACTACAGAGATTGTTGTCACACACGCAGGGCAGTGGTGACCTGAGGGGAGAGCAGGCCTGAGGAAAGGTGTAGAAATTGCTCTGAGGGGTGCCTAGGTGGCTCAGTCAGTTAAGCGGCTGCTTTCAGCTCAGGTCATGATCCCAGGGTCCTGGGATCAAGCCCCACATGGGGTTCCTGTGCCTGCCTGCCGTTCCCTGTGCTTGTGCGCTCACACTCACTTGCGCACATGGGCTCTGTGTCAAATAAATAAAAATCTTTTTTTTAAAATATTCTCTTTATTTATTGGACAGAGGGAAAGAGACATCGAGAGAGGAGATCAGGCAGGGGGAGAGGGAGGGGGAGAAGCAGGCTTGCCGCAGAGCAGGGAGCCCAATGAGGGGCCGATCCCAGGACTCTGGGATCATGACCTGAGCCAAAGGCAGACACTTAATGACTGAGCCACCCAGGTGCTCAATAAATAAAAATCTTGCCCAAAAAATTGCCTTGAGAGTTCAGGAAGAGGAATTAAAGGAGAACAGGAAAGACTTGGAAGGAGGGAAGAGGAAGACAAAAGCAGAAGGTAGTGAGACTTAATGAAAGAGAGAGGTAGAGTTGGGAGCATGTGGTAGTTGACCTTGTTTTCTTGTGAACTCAGTGTGAGATCATTTGGGGGAAGTGGAGAGGCAAGGACTGTGCTTGTATGTAGAGAAGTCTGGTCAAATGTTAGAAAACTCATTGTCTGGAATGCAAGGATCTTGTTTTGCTCTTTTTCCAATATAAATTTATTATCATGTGCTTCCTGTGTTTTTTGGCAGAAAAAAGGTGAAGTTTTGAACATCAACATTTTCCTCTTAATCAGCATTTGGGTGTGAGCTTCTTATGTGTTATTCCTGGAAATTAAAATCGACTACATATTTTATATTTGTGCATACAGAATGTTCCACCAAATGTTGATAGTGAATACTCAGTGGAAGTAACTTAAGTATCCATCAGTGGGAACACTTTCAAATAATTACAGTACATTCATACAGTAGACAGTTGTGCAGCCGTTAGAAAGAATGAGGTAGCCCTGTATATGTCCAGTTTTTTTTTAATGTTAAAGATTATATACTAAAAACAGCAGATTTAGGGGCGCCTGGGTGGTTCAGTTGGTTAAGCATCTGCCTTTGGCTCAGGTCGTGATCTCAGGGTCCTGGGATCGAGCCCTGCATCGGTTTCCCTGCTGAGCAGGGAGTCTGCTTCTCCCTCTCCCTCTGCCCCTGCTCTGCCCCCCACCCCTGGGTGTGTGCTCTCACTCTCTCAAATATATAAACAAAATCTTTTTAAAAAGAAGAAGAAAGCGAGATTTAAAGCAATAATGCAACATTGTATAGGAGGAAGGGAGTTATGTTTGATGTCTGTGCATATACAATCCCAATGATACATATAAAAAACTGACAAGGGGCACCTGGGTGGCTCAGTGTTTGGTTAAAGCCTCTGCCTTTGGCTCAGGTCATGATTCCAGGGTCCTGGGATCGAGCCTCGCATCGGGCTCTCTGCTCAGCGGGAGCCTGCTTCCCCCTCTGTCTCTCTGCCTGCCTCTCCGCCTTCTTGTGATCTCTGTCTGTCAAATAAATAAATAAAATCTTTAAATAAATAAATAAATAAATAAATAAATAACTGACAAAAGGCTAATAGTGTTTATCCCTGGGAAGTAGGATTTAGAGATGGAGGTAACATTTACATTTTTCTTTATACCTTTTTCCACTTGTAGAGTTTTAATTGTACTTTGTGTATTTTTTAAATTTTTATTTATTTGTTTATTTTTTAAAGTTTTTTTAATTAGAGCACAAGTGGGGGAGCAGAGGGAGAAGTGGGCTCCCTGCTGAAAGGAGCCCAATGGAGGGCTCGATCCCAGGACCTGAGATCATGCCCTGAGCAGAAGGCAGACACTTAACCAACTGAGCCACCCAGGCGTCCCTGTACTTTGTGTTATTTAAAAACTTAATTGTGGGGGTGCCTGGGTGGCTCAGTGGGTTAAAGCCTCTGCCTTCAGCTCAGGTCATGATCCCAGGGTGCTGGGATCGAGCCCCGCATCGGGCTCTCTGCTCGGCAGGGAGCCTGCTTCCTCCTCTCTCTCTGCCTGCCTCTCTGCCTACTTGTGATCTCTGTCTGTCAGATAAATAAATAAAATCTTTTAAAAAAATAAATAAATAAAAAATAAAAACTTAATTGTGGGTGTCAAAGTGGAGGGATTTTGAGTCTTTTTTTAATTTTATTTTTTTTTTTTAATTTTATTTATTCATTTGATAGAGATCACAAGTAGGCAGAGAGGCAGGCAGAGAGAGAGGAGGAAGCAGGCTCCCTGCTGAGCCAAGAGCCCAATGTGGGGCTCCGATCCCAGGATCCTGAGACCACAACCGGAGCCGAAGGCAGAGGCTTTAACCCACTGAGCCACCAGGCGCCTCTTAAGCTCTCAATTTTAAGTGAATTTTACATATATGTTATTAACCCTGTTATAAACCCTGCACAAGCAGGGGGAATGGCAGGCAGAGGGAGAAGCAGGCTCCCTGCTGAGCACAGAGCCAGATGCGGGGCTCGATCCCAGACCCTAGGATCATGACCTGAGCCGAAGGCAGGTGCTTAACTTACCAAGCCACCCAGACCTCCCTATTTATTTTTTTTAAAGCAGCAGTATTATTAATCAGTACTTTTCCCCTGACATGGAAATAAACACAAATATTAAAAAATTTTAAATCAATCTTCTTAACTATTTGTTCTTTAAAAAAAATGCAGTCCTTTAGGGGTACCCGTGACCACAGATTGGACTCAGGTTTTTGCTGGCATTTGGTTCCTGCCATAGCCCTGTATGTACATGTTTATATGTGTTTTTATATTATCATTGGTGTATTTTCAGGATAAATTCCCAAAAGTGGAATTCCTGGGTCAAAGAGTTAAGGCACAGGTAGTTATTTTTAATTGAAGTGTAGTTGACATACAGTCTTACAGTAGTTTCAGACGTACGGCATAGTGATTCAATATTTACATACATTATGAAATGTGCACCATGGTAAGCGTAGCTACCATCTGTTACCTTACGAAATTATTATAATATTATTGACTATATTCCCTTGCTGTATTTTATATCCATGATTTATTTTATAACTGGAAGTTTGAGGCACTTGCGTGGCTTAGTTGGTTAAGCATCTGCCTTTGGCTCAGGTCATGGTGCCAGGGTCCTGGGATCGAGCCCCATATTGGGCTGCCTGCTCGGTGGGGAGCCTGCTTCTCCCTCTCCCTCTGCTGTTCTCCCTGCTTGTTTTCTCTCTCTCTCTCTGTCAAATAAATAAATAAAATCTTCTAAAAATCAAAACAAAAACCTGGAAGTTTGTAGCTCTTAATCCCCTTCACCTGGTTTGCCCATTCCCCCCCTCCACTCTGGCAACCACCAGACATTTGTTCCCTGTATTTATGAGTTTGCTTCTATGTTGTTTGTCTTATTTATTTGTTTTAGCATAATAGTATAAAAATGGCAAGATTTCATTCTTTTTTTTTTTTTTAAAGATGTTATTTATTTTAGAGCTAGAGAATGAGTGAGCAACGGGGTGATGGTGGGGGAGGGAGGGACAAGCTGACTCTGAGTGCAGAGCCCGTGTGGGGCTGGATCCCACAATCCCAAGATCAGGCCCTGAGCCTAAATCAAGAGTTGGACGCTTAACCAACTGAGCCACCCAGGTGCCCCAATTTCATTCTTATGACTGAGTAATAGCATACATAGTTTTGTTAGATGTTACCAAATTCCCTTCAATAGGGGCTGTATAGGGGCTATTCCATTTTTCATTCCACTTGTAATATATGAGAAGTACCATTTTAATGTATTCATGTTGTCCTTTAAAATGTGAGAGGGGTGTGTGTATATACTTAGATCTATATGGATATGTATGTATTTTTGTGAAAGGGACATAGAATAGGCCGGTTGACAATCCCCTTTATGTTTATTGCTTTTAACCTTTTTTTATTCCTTGTATATCACAGTTTAGCGTTATCGAAAATCCCAGAGAGGTCAGGCATCCTTAGAATCATAATGGTTGTGTGATGCTTTTGTGAGTCCCAGTTTGTTCTCTGATTTAGTTCCAATAAGTAATTTTCATCAGTGATTTCACATTATTTTAGAATGTTTAGCCCTGCAGCTGTTTTTTAGTAGATCTTGCTGGCCTGAACAATTTTCCTCTGATTACTTTTCAGGGACTGGAAACGATGAAATTTATGGTTTTTACAGTAGCAACTGTAGTTTGAAAGCTAGAGTGAACGCTCAGTTTTAGAATTTTTTCTTTAATCTGCCAAAATCAGAGAAAATCTTGTGTGGTTTTTAATAATGCATTTGCTTCTGATTGTTAAGGATTCTTAAGGTAACATTAAGAAGATTGGTGATTTCTGTAGAAAGATAATGGCCTGTTCTCTATTCATGTACTTTCTGGGTTTCAAGTTCTTTTTTTTTTTTTTTTTAAAGATTTTATTTATTTACTTGCCAGAGAGAGAGAGAAAGTGAGCGAGCACAGGCAGGCAGAGTGGCAGCAGAGGCAGAGGGAGAAGCAGGCTCCCCGCCGAGCAAGGAGCCTGATGTGGGACTCGATCCCAGGACGCTGGGATCATGACCTGAGCTGAAGGCAGCTGCTTAACCAACTGAGCCACCCAGGCATCCCTCTGGGTTTCAAGTTCTTATCTGGACTTTTGTCTTTCTCAACAGCAACAATGGTGTGGTTGGTGAATATGGCAGAGGGAGATCCAGAAGCCCAAAGGAAGGTATCCAAAAACTCCAATTATAATGCACAAAGTAGGTGTCTTTTATTTGGTAATTTCCTGCCTGGTTTTTCCGGGTCATTGTCCTGTTATATTGGCTAACAGCTGTGAAGCAATGATTTTAACCTCTGTCTTTGGTCATGGACTCTTGAGAATTTCCTGGAAGCTGTGGTAATACCCAGTAAATACAGATAAATATTTAAGAAGTTCAGGTGCTCTAAACCCAACCATACAGCCAAGGGACCCTAGGTAAAGAATTTCTGCCATTAAATGACATTAATACCATTATGGAAAGGTTCAAGTTGAGGCTGTGATTTAAAAAAGAAACAGTAATCTTGCTCTCCAAACATGTAAAAATGAGAGCCTCTTACCTGATATGGCTAGGGTAACTTAAATATGATTTGACTTAAGATGCGATCATGTTTATACCAAGAAGACAAAATATTCCAGGTGGACATGACGTTCTGGAGGAGGGTAGATGTTGCAGGATGATCAGGCTGGGAGATGGAAAGGCCCCTTGTGGATACAGAGATGATGTCCGGGCAGGCGTAAGTTAGGAGTTTTTAGGAAGAATTGGAATAATGGCACACTAAAAATAGTCAAGAAGAAAAGAAACTTGATAAGAAAAACAAAGAGCTAACCTTAGAGGAAGCTGGGAAATAGGCAGCGCAGTGGCGAGAGAAGATAAAAGGGCCTTAATGGGAAAAGGAAAGTATAGGTTTAAAGAGCCATGAAATCTGCTGAGTTAGAATTTGGGTAACAGCAAAGAGCACATTTTCAACTGGGAATTTTGCAGCAGAACCAGTAGGAGACCTGATGGAGAAAGAAATATATTGGAAACGATTGCTACAAATCTGGCTATTGTGTTGATCTGTGTTAAGCTGAAGACAATTAAAAGATGAGTTGTCTATGAGTATATATGTGAGTATGAGTGAAAAACATTTTATTCTTTAGACAAAAATTTTTTAAAAGATTTTTATTTATTCGAGACAGAAAGAATATGAGCAGGAGGAGAGGGAGAGGGAGAACCTGACTCCCCGCTGAGCAGGAAGCCCAACATGGGGCTCGATCTCTCAACCCTGGAGATCATGACCTGAGCCGAAGGCAGATGCTTAACCATCTGAGCCACCCAGGTGCCCCATGACAAATATTGATTGAGTGCCTAACTCTGTGCCTCGTATTTTAACTAGGCACTGAGAATGCAGCACTGAACAAGATATCATGTCCCTTCGGAGCTCATGACCTATTTGGACAGACACAAATGTTCAACAAATAATTTTATACAGTTGTGATGCACACTACAAAGGAGAAGTATGGTTGCTATGAAAGTTTACAGTAGAGGAATTTCATTTACTCTGGAAAGTCAGGATGGCTTCCCTGAGGAAGTGATAATAGGTGACAACCAACTGACAAGTAGAAGAAGAACTTTCCAGAAGAGGAAACAATGGGGAAGAGCCTTGAAGTTAGAAGGAGCTAGGTGAACTACAAAGTTCCTCAGTGGGAGTGCTGTGGTATTTTGGGTGGGCAGTTCTTCATTGTGTGGGGCTTCGCTCTTTGCAGGTTATTAGCTTTTCTGGCCCCTCCCTCTAAATGTTAATTTTGGTTTCGCAGTATTGCGGTAGGCAGAAAGCCCTCCATCCTAGATATTTCCAAACACCCCCTGGAAGGGAGGTGCTACCCACTGGCTAAAAACCACTATGTTAGCAGAACTAGAAGTTAGATTGGAATAGAAAAACACAGGGCTCCGAAAGGGGTGGCTTGAAAGGTTCACAGGTAGGAGTGAGGAGGGATGGGGCAGAGCAGGGACTGCTGTTTTTATTTATAAATCTTATGCTTATATGATTTTGTAAACTCCAAACCATCGATGATTCAGGATTTGTGAGGACTTGGTTAAGAAAAAGAATACAAGTTATGAATACAGAATTGCTATGGCCTCTCTGAAGTATTCCATGTAAGTGAGAGGCCTGAGGCTTGCAGTCTTCATGGTCAATCCACCTCTATGAACATGTTTTACTTGTATTAAATAATAATAATAAAGGAGGGGAAAAAAAGTTTTATCAACTTCACTTCTGTATTTTAATTATCTTTGATGTATGGATATTTCTCAGGACTTGCATGTTATGCTTACAATTTTTGAATCTGATTGATAGTCATTATAACACAATGGCTGATCCATAAAAAAATTCACCCCCCTCTCCTGCCCCACCTCCCCCATAATGATCTGCTTTTTATCTTAGTCACTAAAGCCATGGTTGGGCTTTCAGCTGCCAAAATCAGAAAACCCAAGTCAGTTGCCTTACACAAAGAAGAATTAGGTTCTCTCGTGTGACCAGAAGTCCTGAGGTGTAGGCCTTTGTAGGGCTGGTCGGTTTTATGATCCAATGATGTCATCAAGGGCCCAGGGTCCTTCCATCTTCCTGCTCTGCCATTCTTAGATACAGGTTTGGTCCTCAGCCCACTGCTTCTCATGATCAGAAGATGACAACTGTTGTTCCAGACATCATATCCAGATGAGACATCATCCAGGCTTAGAAAGGGGCGGTTTTGTTTCTTCCTTGATTCTCTCAAAGAGTGAGAAAAGTATCCCACAAATTCAGAGCAGACTTTGCCTCCCCATGCATTGGCTAGTACCACCTCCACCTTTAGAGCTTTTATTGGGAAGAGGAATGAAATTACCATGCTTGGCTTGGCTTGGCTTGATCATGATTTACCCCCAGAGTCATGTGCATGAGAGGCAGAAACCCAAACCAATCAGGACTCTGCCCTCAGGAAACAAGGGAAATGGTTATTGGTCAAGCAACTTCCAGGTACTTCTACAGCTTATGATTTGTGGTTTAAGAGCCAACTAACCTAGTTACATGACAGGTGGTAGTTATTGTTCCCGTGTAGTTTTATTAAAGGTATTAAGAAATTTTTCTAAAATGTTAGCTATAATTTCCACTTTCTCTTGAAGGCACCGAAAGTGAGTCCCAAGACCCTGTGACAGAGAGCGACGATGGTGGCTTCAGTGAAGAGTGGGAAGCCCAGAGGGACAGTCGCCTAGGGCCTCATCATTCTACAACTGAGACACGAGCTGCTGTGCAGGAACTTTCCAGCAACATCCTCACCAGTGAGGACCCAGAAGAAAGTACGTGCATTTCTCTGTGTTGAATAGTCTTGGGTTCTTTTACGTGCTGCGTTACCAAACTCCTCAAAAATAAAATGAATAGAGAGTGTTATGGTCTAATTCTGAATAACAGATTGAAGCTTTTAGTGGGACATGCTCATAATTACTGCTTTTCTCATAGTTCAGTTTGTCAGTGGGCCAAATTCTGCTCCTCAGATTTTTGGAAATGGCCGTTTATAGCCTGAACATTAGGCATTTGTTTTATAAGGTAGAAGATTTTTTTCAGAATTATTATTGCAGTAAGGCTTCATGACTGCAATATTTGTGTATAAAAATCTCATTAATACATTTCCTCTTCCTGTGCAGAGACCTGTGGATTTGAGTGTTTCAGCCTTTTACATATTCCCTTTGCTAGCCAGCACTGTATTTTATGAATTTTAAAGAAAATCAAAGGGATTTAGGTTATGGGTAGAAATGCAAACATTTGTTCAATGTCTAAGATATGTTGGCACTTGGATTTCCTTTAGCACTTGGGGCTTCTTGGGAACATGATCAAGAGCCCCTTTGGTTAGGGCTCAGTCATCTCTTCAGTTAGTCTTAAAGATGTGTTTTTTTTCTAAAAGATTTTATTTATTTATTTGACAGACAGAGATCACAAGTAGGCAGAGAGGCAGGCAGAGAGAGAGGAAGCAGGCTCCCTGCCGAGCAGAGACCCCCCCCCTCCCCCTGATGCAGCGCTCGATCCCGGGACCTTGAGATCATGACCTGAGCCAAAGGCAGAGGCTTAACCCACTGAGCCACCCAGGTGCCCCATGATGTGATTTATTAAGAGATTAATACAGTTTCCAACTAAATTATTCTTGGTGGGTTTTTTTTTTTCTTCTCACAAAAGTGAAGCTCTGGATTAAAACATTATAGTAAAAATGTTAAGTAATTTTAGAGAAAGAAACACCTAGATTTCTTAGCTTCTTGATTTACTGATCATTGATTATTATGATCTGGACATTATCCTTCAGCTTAAGCAGAACACTTCTTACAGCTCAGCCTTATACTCTTTTAACTTGGTCAAAACCTGGGCGTATCCTTGACTTTGGTGCTTGGTTGAATTTTCCAGATGTTAGAGCCAGCTACACCCTGTGACTTTCATACTCCAGGGAGACTAGACACGGTTGCCTTGGCTTACAGCCAGGCTTGATCTTGTCTTTGCTGGTGTATTCTCTGCCCGCAAAGTTACCACTGTAGTCAGGTTGCCTCTTCCCTTCCTCTCATTTCTCAGGGGTGCCTGCCGCCAAAAGAAGGAAAGAATATATAGCTGTTGACCAGAGCAGCAGCATGACTGTTTCATGATTGTCCTTGCCACTTGAGTGCTCACTCCTGATCCTTTCCTCGTGTGCTCTTTGTCTTTTATGTCTGTGTGTGCGTGTGTGTGTGTGTGTGTTTTGTTGTTTTGTTTTTTTAAAGATTTTATTTATTTATTTGACAGAGATCACAAGTAGGCAGAGAGGCAGGCAGAAATAGAAAGGGAAACAGGCTCCCTGCTGAGCAGAGAGCCCAACACAGGGCTTGATCCCAGGACCCTGAGACCATGACCCGAACCGAAGGCAGAGGCCTCAACCCACTGAGCCACCCAGGCACCCCTGTTGTTTTGTTTTTTAAGGAAAACCCAAGTATTGCCTTCCTAATGTCACAATAGTATTTTCTTTTCCTGGGACCAGTATAAACTAGTAACTGAAATTCTTTCATCATCTTTGCATCCAGTAACATAACCATCTTGTATTGTATTATTATTATTATTATTATTATTATTATTATTATTATTAAGCAAGCTCTACACCCATTGCTAGGCTTGAACTCAAGACCCTGAGATCAGAGATCCCATGTTCTACCGACTGAGCCAGGCAGGCATCCCTGATTACATTAATGTTTTAAACCAGACTTATGGTTACTTATTTTTAAAAGTTTCAGTTTACACTAGAATTCAATTTGTAAAAAGCACATATTGTCTTCCAAAACAACCTTTAAAAATCAGCATTTAATTGGAAACTGAAGAGTTCTTAATTAGAAATGTAAAATATTTTTATTCAATATGAAGTTAGTTGGTCTTCCTTCTAGTGGCTTTCAAAATATACTTCCCTCAAACACCATGCCAGTAGCCGGCTCATCCTAAGTGTGCCACCAATCAGTAGACTTAACACTTACCAACATAGTGAAATTAGCCTGGTGTTTTCAGGAGTAGAAATTTGACTCCTAGAGATTCTTTTCTGTAACCTCAAGGGAAGTGTGGAAGATGAATTTTACTATTCTCTTCAAATGGAAGAAGAGATTTTACTTTATTTTCTTTTATTTTTTTTAAGTTTTTGTTTATTTATTTGACAGAGCTCACAAGTAGGCAGAGAGACAGGCAGAGAGGTTGGGGGGGCGGGCAGGCTCCCCACCGAGCAGAGAGCCCGATGCGGGGCTTGATCCCAGGACCCTAGGATCATGACCTGAGCTGAAGGTAGAGGCTTCAACCCACTGAGCCACCCAGGTGCCCTGGAAGAAGAGATTTTAATAGTAAATCTATTATTTCCTGAAATAATACATTTCAGGAAGTTTCTTTTTAAGATTTTATTTATTTATTTAGAAAGAGTGAGAGAGCATGAGTGGGTGAGGGGCAGAGGGCGCGGGAGGGAATCTTCAGGCCGACTTCCTGCTGAATGTAGAGCTCAAGGAGCTGCTGCATTCCAGCACCCAGGGTTCATGACCTGAGCCAAAACCGATTTGGATGCTTAACTGACTGAGCCACCCAGGTGCAGCATTAGGCAGTATTTTGTTTTGTTTTATTTTTAGTAAGATTCATTTATTTATTTTAGAGAGAGCTTGAGAGAGGGAGGAAGAACAGAGGGAAAGGGAGAGAAAGAGGGTGAGAGAGAGAATCTCAGACAGACTCCCTGTGGCACACAGAGCCTCACGTGGGGCTCGATTTTACAACCCTGAGATCATGACCTGAGCTGAAACCACGAGTCAGATGCTTCACCGACTAAGCCCACCTAGGAGCCCCTCAAAGCTCCGCTTTTTTTAAGATTTTAAGTAATCTCTACACCCAGCGTGGGGCTCGAGAACTCACAGTCCTGAGATCAAGAGTCACGCTCCACCAGCTGGGTCAGGTAACCCTCGGCAGTTTTTAATATGTTTACATTTATTAAAAAGATATAGGAAGTATTTTTATGTTACATTTAAGCTAGGCAAATATTACACAGCTAGAGGTTGTTTAGAGAAATCTTACAATTAAAGTAAATAGTCACCATCATTTATTGTCTTTACTGTGTCTTATGTTTGGTAGACCAGCAGATGCTCCTTCTAATATTCAGGGAACACCATGTTACTTGAAATTATTTTCAGAGTTAATAAAAACAAAACAACACAATAGAAGCCCTAGACTACTATTAGCAAATAGCAGTAAAATACTAGCAACCAGTCCTAGCATTAACACTTGCTGGTAGAATACTGCTCATTCGTGTTGACTAACCTAAGCAGTTTCCATTGCTGTGGTTTTAGTTATTTGGCTATGGCACATTTTGATTGAATAAATCAAAAGGAGCTATTTAAAGAAAAATTCCTGAGCAATATGATTTTTCTTAGATTTTTATTCTGCTTCAATTTCTTCTGCTTGTAGGTGAATAAAACTTGACATTTCAGTAAATGCCTAAAGAAAAAAACTGATGGTTACTTGTTTCCTTACTCTAATTTTGCTAATAAGTAATGTATATCTTTCCATTAAAATGAATTCTGTGAAGTATAACTATAACATTTGCCATAATATTGCTGTTAAATGGAAGCCTATTTTTTTTAAATTTTATTTTTATTATGTTCAGTAAACATAAGCCTATTTTTAAATTTTTAAATATTTATTTAAGTAATCTTTACACCCAGTATGGAACTTGAACTCATGACCCGAAAATCAGGAGTTGGGCACTCTTCCAGCTGAGCCAGCCAGGCACCCCTAAACATAAGCCTTTGAATGAAACAGTGAGGCTGTGATTTTAAAAAGCTTTGATTTAATACATAGTTTTCATTTACTTTTTTTTTTTTTTTTTTAAGATTTTACCCATTTATTTGACAGAGAGAGAAAGTACACAAGCAGGGGGAGCAGCAGAGGAAGAGAGAGAAGCAGGCTTCCTGCCATGCAGAAAGCCCGATGTGGGGCTCGATCCCAGGACCCCGAGATCATGACCTGAGCTGAAGGCAGAGGCTCAACTGACTGAGCCACCCAGGCGCTCCATTTTTGTTTAGTTTTTGATAACTTTAGTATATTCACAGAATTGTTGAGCCATCACCACAATTAATACCGGAACTATCTCATTACCCCCAAAAGAACCCACACTCCTTAGCTGTCCAGCTCTCTAGTCCCTCCCATCCCCCGCATTTAAAACACATAAGGCAGTGATTTTTATTATATTCAGAGTTGTGCAGCCGTCCCCACAAGTGAATTTTAGAACATTTTCATCACCTCAAAAAGAAACCCTGAACTCATTAGCCCCCATGTCCCGCCAACACCAACAAATATACTATTTTTTTTTTTTTTTTAAGATTTTATTTATTTGAGAGAGAGGGAACCCAAGCAGGAGGAGTAGGAGAGGAGGAGGAGAAGCAGGCTTCCCGCCGATCAGGGAGCCCAGATGCGGGGCTCAATTCCAGGACTCTAGGATCATGACCTGAACTGAAGGCAGAGGCTTAACGACTGAGCCACCCAGGCGCCCCCACAAATGTACTCTCTTAATAGAGTTGCCTATCCTGGACATTTCATATAGATGGAATCCTACAATATATGGTCCTTTGTACTGATCTCTTTCCCTTAGGGTAATGTTTTCAAAGTTCATCTCTGTTGTAGTATGTGTCAGTACTTCCATTTCTTTTTATAGCCAAGTAATACTACATTTCACATATATCCCACATTTATTACCCATTCATCAATTAACAGACATCGAGGCTGTTTTCATTTGGGGCTGTTAGGCGTAATGTTGCTATCAATATTCATGTAC